TTTAGATCTGGTCCTGGTAACCATGACGACAGAAGGAAACCAGCATCTAATATTTTTGAAAGTAGATTTTAATTTAAAAGTTGTCGTTTTGTTCCAATTTATTCCTGAATTGTGGTCGGGGGGCAGCACAACATCAGTCCGGGGTCCTCAAATCGCCCCCGACCCCCAGTTTGAACACCCTTTCTCCAAATGTTAAAGGAACATTCATATTCAACTCTGTCGTCTTTCTGCCTCTGCAGGAGTTTTCAGAAGGCCAAGACCTCGACAGACTGGAAGAAGAAGAAGAGCAGAAGCAGACGTCAGAATCTCAGATCAGACTGATGAACAGCGGCATGGCATCCATACCAGAGTACTACGCCGGGAAGAGCGTTTTGATCACGGGAGCCACCGGCTTCATGGGGAAGGTGCTGGTGGAGAAGCTGCTGCGGAGCTGCCCTGACGTCAAAGCCCTCTACATCCTGGTCAGACCCAAAGCCGGCCAGTCCATGAAGCAGCGAGTCAGCGACATGATGAAGTGCAAGGTAACCGAGTCTCTAGATGCAGCAGCGTTTGGGTCAGTGCTGATGTCTCTTCTCTGCTAACCGGCGGGATCCTCCTAAACGTTTATATCAACCTTGATGTCTGGGAGTCTTAGTTTGAGCTTCTCGGTTTGTTTTTGGCTTTTGGTTTAACAGAGACTGATTTTTGGATTCAGTGTTTGAAGCTTATTGCATTATTTTTTATTTCCTAAGCAACTAAAATCATAGAACAAGAAACTATGTTTAGTTCTCTCTTGTGCTTTTCTGATAAACCACAGTTTAAAGATCATAATTTTCCAGCCTAATAGAAGGTAAGGAGGAATATTTAGAGCATTGGTGACCTAACAAACCGGCACCTTGTCCTGAAAATTAAAAGCAAGAACTGGATATAAAAAAACGTTAAAAGTTTGGCAGCATTCAGGAAACATTGCAACTTCTGCTCAGCATTCTTACTCTATGCACAGGAGCTCCAGTTGTCCCATTCCTCTCAAAAACTGTTAAACATTGTTTTATATTTGTGGGCAAATTAGATTGTGTAAAATATAGCAATAATGAATGGAAACGGGTAAATATCTCACTCACTGCACTACAGTAACGGACATTATTCTAAGAATAATGACTTTGTCACACCAGTCAGTTCCCATTAAACCTCCTGCAGTTAATTTTCTCTCAGCATTTTCTTTGGCTTTATGCCAATGCTACACATACGAGATGCCAAATTACTGTCATTTAATTGGCTCAGACACAAGGAAAATAAAATAGTCGCTAATTGTTGCTGTCAAACATGCAGGAGAAACGTTTGAAGAGTTCAGTACGACGGTCTGGCTGCTGACTGTATGCAGTCATTATGCTAGCTTATCCTATTTTTGTGTCTTCATCAGTTTGGATCATTTCTTCTCCGAAAACAACGTTTCTAATTACTTCATAATCCTGATGGGAAAGTGAGATAAGCAGGCAGAAGTTTCGATGTTTCGACACGCTCAACTGATTTACATTCAGGAAACTGCCTCACCTTTCTGGGATGTTTTGGGAAAGTAGTTTTTAAATCTTTATCGTTATCACAATAATACCACAAATATCATGATAAGATACTAAGTCCACATCGCCTACCTGTACACTAAAGCACTTTTTGTGTAAAAAAACACACATTTTAAAGTCACTTATCTGTGTTGAAAAACAACAAAAGCATATTAAGGCTGATATAGATGAAAAATTTAGTAATTTTTGACAAAAAATTTGAGAAAATCTCAGAAATTTTCTAGAAAGAAAAAAAAACAAAGAAATTTCTGAGCTCCAAAAATTTAAAATTTGCAAGAAAAAAATCTGAAATTTTTTGATTAATCTCAGAAGTTTTCTAGAAAAAAACTAAAATTTTCAAATTTTGAAAGTTTTTTTTCTAGAACATTTTCAACTTTTCAAATTAAGAAATCTAGAAAATTTCTGAAATGAAACTCAAAATGTTTTATTTTTTTTTTTTTCTAATTTTTTTCTATCTTCATTTACCTTAAAAAACAGTTTAACGGTTATTTTAGGGTTTGCTCTTTAAATCTTCAACTCACCTATCAGATTTAGACGATCCTTATTCAAATTTGCTCTGTCGGCTGATCAAAGGCAGAGCAGCTGAATGTTTGCATAGCAACAGAAATTTGCCTACATATTCCTGCAGCAGCTTTGATGGACACAGTGAATAAAGCTCAACAACCCCAGAAGAGCCCAAAAGTTCATATTTGAGCTGGAGCAGAAATGGATCATGACTGGTAACAAAGGGTTAACCAAACCGGGGCTGATTGAAATGACAGAAGCAAAGATGGCAGCAGAGGAAGTCAGACGCAGCTCCAAACAGCTGCCATCAGGCTGGGCAGCAAAGCATGACTCAGCAGAAACCTCCAAACTCCGCTGGACGTAATGAGGAGCGAAGGATTGACGGTGTGTGTGTACTGATGTGCTCACAAACAGCTGCTGCTCGCTCCGACTGCTGCTGGCCTCAAACTGTCAGCGCACCTAAGAAAACGACACGTTCTCTTTAATCCTCTTTGTCTCCCTGTGATAGCATCTGTTTTTACTACTCTCATTGGGATTAGACCTCGCTCCTCCTGCTGCTGCTGCTGCTGCTGCTGCATTCATTACTCTGCTCACCGCTGCACCAGCAGCAGGGCGGCGCTTGGAGAATTTGCTCTTAATTTAGCTAAAAACGTGGCTTTTCTGCTGCTGTTCATGATGAACACAAAGCCTAAACAGTCGTACGAAGAGAAAGAACAGTTCTGATCAGGACTCCATTGGGGCTGAAACGATTAATCAGATTAATCGATTATAAAACTGATCGACAACTAATTTAGCAATCGATTAATCGTTAACTGTACAGACGCACCAAAAGATACATACTTAAGCCTAACTGTACAAAAAATGTATACATTTTGCATTTAAAATAAAAATACAACTTTTGTCTGTAAAAATGTTCTCCTCAAATTGATTCAAATTCTATAAGATAAAAAAACATTTTAAATATTGGATACCTATGGAATGATCATTAACAAACTAAATTGCTGTTTTATTTCAATTTAGGCAATAAAATGTTTTTTTTCTTATAAGGGAATTGAATTGTTTATTCTCATATTTTAATGTATTTCTAATCTTTTAGTGGTTAAATTAAAAAGCTTAAGAATGTAGCCATTTTTTAATCCGTTTAATCGGTTAATCACATGAATAATTGATTACTAGGACATGATTATTTGTGGCGCTAGTGTTTGAATTTATTTTTTACGGCTGGGAATTTTTACATGTAGTTTTAAAACTGTATCAGCTGAGGAATTGGGTGAATAAACTTTCTAAATGCACTTAAGAGACGAACTGAAAAGCAGGCAACCAAACACAGAACCTTGCGTTACTCCAAAGTTAGAATAGTTTGGACCTTGAGGGGAAAATGATTTCTAATCAATTAGGTTTATTGGTATGTTGTGCACAATGCAGAGAGCTTGTAAGACAATCGGTAATGAAGCAGTTTAATGAAAAACTCTACCAGTCGACACACAGGTCACGATAATAAATATGGCCATTAAAATAACACTACGGAATAAGAAATGCATGAAAAAAAACCTTAAAATGTGCATAACTTATGATCAATGTTGATGTTTCTGGCTTTCTAAGAGCCACTTTTTAAGATGCTTAGAGGATCTAAAGACCCCAAAGTTGAACTGGTGACCCAAAGCAGCTAACTACTGGTTTATCATTTTATTCTGGAGGGAAAAAAGTTTATACTCTCATTTCTTGGAAGCCTTTTATAGATCTAAAATCTGTTTATTTTTGTCTTTTGGCTTTATTTCTCCATCTCTGCAGTGTTTTGTGTAAAAATCCAGGCTCCCTCAGACTCTCTCTGCATTCAGAAGAACCGATATCATTAAATTTCCAAGAAGGAGCCTTGGGTACTAATTGGTATTCAAGCGAGTCCTCGGGTCAGTATTATTCTTTTCCGAATCGGGATAATTCATGAGGGAGGACTGTGGTATTGTCTCTCAAGTGGCCTCTCATCCTTCAAGCCAGGCCAGTGTCTTCCTTACAACCTGTTGCTAGGTAACGACCCGGAGATCCGGCCCGCGGCACTTTTTCAAACGATGCAATCAGGGGCCACTGCCCCCGGCAGGGAAAGGACAAACCAATACGAATCTCATTGTGTCTGCTCCGACATTGACATTTAGACTGTTGGGGGGGGTTTTCCTTTCTTTTCCGCAGCAGCCAGGTCGGTTTGATCCGGTAGAAAATGTTTGGCTGTAAGAATCGGTCGGTCCAAAGAGGTGGGAGAGGGAATGTTTTTGGTAGGAACAAGGATCTCCTGGAATGCGGCCTACAGAGGAGGAATATTTTCCTTTTTCTTTGGGTCATTATGCTGGTTAACGCGCTCTACCAGTGGATAATGAGCGTTATTACTGATTATATAGTTCACTTTTGTTAAGTCAGGTTTATTTGTATGGCACATTGAAGCAGCAAGGAAGCTTAAAGTAACAGTAACCAATTACTAAACAGGCTTTAACATCACGTTTTGGTCAATGTTCCAGTTATTATTAACTTCAGTGTTTCAGACGTTTGTTCCAGATTTGTAGTGCGTAGAAACTGAATGCTGCTTCTCCATGTTTGGTTCTGGTTCTGAATGCAGAGCAGACCAGAACCAGAAGACCTGAGAAGTCTGGAAGGTTGATACAGCAATGTGTTTTGGTGCAGAGCCATTCAGTGATTTATAAACCAGTTTTAAAGTGAGCTACAGTATAAGGGCTTTAGAACTGGGGTCACGTTCTTTATCTTCCTAGTTTTAGTCAGAACGCCAGCAGCAGTGTTCTGGATCTGATTGACTTTTTTTTAAGTAAAAACACATGGATGAGTCTCTATATTTTACTGAAATATTACTCTTTTAATCCTAAAAATGCTCGTCAGGTGACAGAAGACCGACTTTGTTACTGTCTTTATGTGTCTTTGGATGTTCAGACTCAGATTTCTGGCCTGATCAATAGTTCCTTGCTGTAAAAACTGAAACTCTTGATCATTCCTCTTTAGGTCCAAAGAGGAACGATCAGCTGGAGAAGGTTATGGCCCATTTCTCCACTCTATCGGTGAAGTCGGACGGTTTTTTCTCTTTTCCCTTCTTCCCCACCTTCGCTTGTTTCTGTGCTACTTTTTTGGAGCCTCTCTTTGCACATCCTCCGAATCTACAAATTATGGATCTGGATAACTGGTCTCTCAATACACAGGAGAGCCCAATAAATCATCAAGGATTTATTTGGTCTCATGATAACAGGACTTCTGCTGCTTGGAGCTTGCGGATGCCTCGAATTTGTGACGGACTGAGTTGAACTAGTGAACAGTCGGACTGATGCTGTGAGACGGAGGCACAAGTTGGATGTGATTCTTTGGACTCTAAAACTGACTAGCCGGATGGAATCGATCCTGGAGAAGTTGCTAGTTTTCGGCCCAATGGGAACGACCTGTAGACTTTAAGTCTGCCCGTTCTACAGACG